TATATTTTACATTTTTTAACATTATGTTGCTATAACTTTTTAAAAAATGCATGAATCAACTTTATTCTTTAATGATAAATACTTTATATATACTTCTTTCATTCGACATACTTTTTTTTAAAATCGGACCATTTCCCTTTATACAGGGGGGGTGCAAACCTTTTAAAATGCGTATAGAAAGTAGAACTTTTTCAACTTAACTTTTGAAAATGTTCCGGAAAGACTGACACTTTTATATATATCTTAAATTAAAGCTTATGTAATATACTTTAATTTGAAAAAAAAAAATTTGACCTCTGGACTTGTCTTCGTGGTGAAAACGGACATCAAAGTTAAAGAAAAACGTACGATTTCCGTGAAAAAAATCTCGATTTTATATGTTATATTATTTAATTTATATTTTATATAACTTTTGGAAAAATGTATGGATCTATATTATTATTTTTTTATAATAAATATTGATATACCCCTTTCATCTGGCACGCTTTTTTTGTAAATCGGATCATACCCCTTTAACAAGGGGGGTCAAAACTTTAAACATGCGTATTGTTACTACGATATTTTCAATTTAATTTTTGAAAGTATTCCGGAAATACTGACACTTTTAAATATATCTTAAATTAAAGCTTATGTAATATACTTTAATGTGAAAAAAAAAAATTTGACCTCTGGATTTGTCTTCATGGTAAAAATGACTACCGTATGCAAAAATATGCTATTTTTGTGTTAAAATTCTGGGTTTTGTATTTTATTTTATTTTAAAATACCTGACAAGGGGAGTACAGATTTTCATAAATATTATATAAATTAAAATTGATATAGTATAGATAGTTAAACTTATTTAAATATGTTTGTTTCTTTTAAGTCGAGAAAAATAACTTTGAAATTTGAACTAGCTTAAATAGCCAATTTTTCAACCGCCGGAAGCAACGTACGGTTGCCGAGTTGGTAAAATTTATGTTTTACACGCTTGGGGTACGAGGTTCCAACCCGCATATGGCAATGAATTTTTTGCATTTTTTCTTAATTCTTTTTAAGTTAGTATAAATTTTAACTCGTTTGATTTTTATCACATTTAGATTCAATAACTTCAATAAAGATCAAGGATCCCATCACTTTAGTCGCCCCTTGCAAGAAGAAATTTCTTATTCGTATTAAAATTATTTTACTATATTTTAAGTTTTCGCTTCGATGCAAAGCCGAGAAGATATTTTTTTGTGACTATCATTTATTTTCTCTGCTCTAACTTGACCTACTTTTTTCAACAATACGTCAAATTACTACAATTCGTATCTAGTTGAAGATATTACTCTCAAAAATTGAAAAAAAAATTCTAATTTATCAATTAAACAGTTAGTTATTACATCGTCTCCATAAAGACAATTAAAATCATTAATTTCTAATGTTTTCAAAATATTTATTAACGAATGAAGTTTGATATGATAGGTTTCAACTACAAAATTAAATCATTTTACTTTGTAATTTAATAATTTTTTTACTCTATTTGTGTGTGCTACTACTAGACTATAATATTACAATTTTTTTTTGTAACATGTTGCTATATAAATCATTTCTAAAAAAAATGATTGTTTTTTCTCCTGAATTAACAATTGATTTTTACAAATATAATCAAATTTTATAATACACTCAATTGAGTAAATCTTTTTAACAACTTTGTTTTGATTGGTACATTTAGTTAAAGTAAATCATTAAAATTAATTAAGTTCTCAATATTTCAATTATAGAATCTTTTCAACAAACAACAAAAGTTCCTAGGAAATTATTACTATTACTTCTATTTAAGTTATCTATTACCATAAAAATGCAAAAAAATATTGAGCTTTTCTGATAAATTTACAATAAATAGTAATTATAAAACTTTCTGACTGCATATTGATCTTAACGATACAATTTTTTTAATTGTCATAAAATTTTCTATTTAATTATGTCAATGTCAAACTTACCAATTGAGCTAAAAGTTATGGTAAAATAAATTTTTTTTTTTTATTATAAACATTTACAACAATCAACTTTAAACGATTAACAAAATAGGTTAAATATGTCATTTTCCTTATTTTTAACTTATTAATAATCAAATTAATATTAAATATTATATCAAATCAGTATTAATTTAAAACAATTTTTTTTGTTCTTAATTATTTTTTTTTATATGTAAAAACTATTTTTTAATAATATTAAAACTTAGAAGTTATAGAAAAAGTCTAATTGCACATTTTAAAACATCGCGAAAAGTTGATTTAGAATAGTATATTTTTGTTTCTGATGGAAGTTCCTTGTAGTCCAGTGTATAAAACTTATAACTTTGTTAATTGTTATAACTTTATCAAAAATGACCAAATCAGTATATTTTTTTTTATTTAGATGCATGTCTTTATCTATCATTTGGTTTTTTTTATAAATCTAACCCTTTACCTGCCCACAAGAGGGATTCAAAATATTAACTTTTTTTTTTTTAGTTAAAGTAAATCATTAAAATTAATTCAGTTCTGGATATTTCAATAGTAGAATCTTTTTAAATATCAAAAATTACTTAGAAATGATTACTATGATTTCTATTTAAGTGTTCTATTACGATAAAAATGCAAAAAATAATGAGTTTTTCTGATAAATTTACAATAAATAATAATTATAAAACTTTCTGACTGCATATTAATCTTAAAAATAACATTGTTTTAATTCTCATAAAATTTTCTATTTAATGATTCATTCTAGTCAACGAAGGAGTAATTTTGCAGAATAGCAGAAAAAATTCCCAACAAACTTTTTTTTTTTTTGTTTTAATTAGGCAATTGGTGGATTATTCCAAAAGCAACATCAACTCTTATTTCTTTAATTATATCATGATTAGTAGTTCTTTGATTTTAAAATATAATATTTGAATATATACTAATTATAATTATTAAATTTAGTATGAAATTGATATTTAATATTGTAATTTAAACGGAGAAATTATAAAAATAATAAAGAAGTTATATTTTGCTTTACTTTTACGTGTATAAAAATTTAAAGGGCTTGATACAATAATTTTCAATAAAAACTGTTTGTTACTATAAAAAAATGCACTGGACTACAAGGAACTTTCATCAGAAGCAAAAATATACTTTTCTAAATCAAATTTTCGCGTTGTTTTCAAATCTGCAAGTAGACTATTTCTATCACTTCTAATTTTTTATATTATTACTAATTATATATATAAAATAATAATTAAAAGAAAAAAAAATTTGTTTTCAAATTATTACTGATTTGATTTTTAATATGTTAAAAATAATCAGTCCAAATTTTCAATTTTAACCTATTTTTTTGGTTCTTTAAAGTTGATGAAAAATTTTTGATAAAGATTTATGAAAGTTTATAGTAAAATAAATTGAATATATTACCATAACTTTTAGCTCAATTACAAGTTTAAAATTGACATCTAGGCCTGTCAACAAAGGAAAAATTGCGGAAAAAATTTTGTTTTTTTAAAAGTTGAATTAAAATATGTATAATGACATACTAATAGTCCTCAAGATTGGAATTGAGCTTTTTTTTTAAATCCTCGCAAAAGTTCAAAAATATGAGCTTTCTTAATTTTCTCAAAAAAAAATATTTAACTTACAAAAAAAAGTTTCGCACAAAAGTTGTTTAAAAGACAATTATAAATAAAAATATAATCTTATATTTTTTCATTTAAACAAATATTTTTCGAGTTACATTACATTTAATATGAGTAATAAAATTTATATTCCATTTTTTTCATTTTACGGTTACTTTTTATCATGTTATACTTACATTAGACACAATGTTATAAATGCATATGTGTGTATGTGTGAGTTTATTTATTTATTGTATCATTAAAGTGTAGTGTATATTGAGATACAACCGATAGAGTAGGTAATTGATTTGACGCTATATTATTTAAACCCAACTAAACGCTAAATTGTACATTCCGAAATAACAATCATATTATGTCAATTGCCACCGGAATATCTGGTAATATTTTTCTTTTTCTTTGCCTTAATCCCAACTACTTGGGGTCGGCCACCCTTATCCTAAGCTTCCACTTGACACGATCTCCCACATCTTCTACGCTCACATCAGCTGTCCTCAAATCGCATTCAATAGCATCCCTCCATCTCTTTTTTGGTCTTCCTCTATCTCTTCTTCCTTCAACATTCATTTCTATAACTGTTCTTACAGCTTTCGATTCTTCTTTCCTCATACCATGACTAAACAATCTAAGTCTATTTTCTGTCATCTTATCCACGATTGACGCAACACCTATACTTCCTCTTATATGCTCGTTCCTTATCCTATCTTCTCTAGTCACTCCACTCATCCAACTAAGCATTCTCATCTCTGCTACACTTATTCTCTGCTCTACTTTCTTATCAACCGCCCAACACTATGAACCATACATCATAGCTGGCCTCACAATTTCATACTAAATTTAAAAACTATAATTAGTATTTATTCATATATTATATTTTAAAATCAAAGAACTACTAATCAGGATATAATTAAAGAAATAAGAGTTCATGTTGCTTTTAAAATATTTCACCAATTTCTCTAAAGGAAACACTATCTACAGATTTGCATCGAAGCGTTTCTTATGATAGTGATTTTAATCACTGTCAGATATCATCTATACTTATCTCATCTATGCCACGTCTATACTGTGCCTCGACCCCACTGTGCTACCGTTTTTTTATATTTAATTTAATTTAATTTTTGTTATATTTCTAACTACAATGGTATCGAATTATAAACGTAAAGCCACATGACAGTCATGAATAGAAAGTGATATGAAAAAAGCTATATCTGCTATAGCTAAAAAAGAAATGGGTTGGCTTAAGGCGTCTAAAAAATTTAATGTTCCTCAAGCTACTATTTGTCGTCTATGGACAAAAATAAATTAGATATTGGTATTACGAAAACACTAGGTCGACCTATACTTTTTTATTTTCTTGGAAAAAAAAATAGCTGAGCATATACTAAAAATGGAGTCTAGATTTTTTGGATTTACTGTAAAAAAAATTCAGAAATTGGCTTATAATTTAGCCGAAGAAGCTTGTATACCTCATTTATTTAATACTAAAATAAAAGAAGCTGGTCAAGACTGGTTGGTTGGTTTTCGAAAAATAAATCCACAGTTGTCTTTACGTTCGCCTGAATAATTTCACCTGCCAGGGCCAGAGTTTTCAATAAGCCACAATTTGAAATTTTTTGAATCTTTTTTATGATACCACGAACAAAGAAAATATACAAGTAACTAATATATACAATAAGGATAAATCTACCCTGAAAACAGTAGTTGTTAGTTGCAAGTTGGTGCACTAACTAGTGCAGAGCGAAGACGGCATGTGGCTGTAGTTTGTTGTATTGGGTTATCTGGTCAGAGTACGCCTCCTGTTCTTATTTTTCCTCGAAAAACTTTTAATCCGAATTTGTATGATGAAGCACCACCAGGAACTTTAAAACTTTTTAATGACCCTGATTACATGGTTGGTGAATTATTTGTTAAAGGAGTGGAACACTTTATACAACATGTTAATTCTAGTTCAACAAATAAAGTTTTAATGAAACTAGATGGTCATTCAAGTCACAAAAGTATTGAAGCTCTTGAACTAGCCAAAAAATCTGGTGTAATCCTACTTTGTCTGCCACCTCATTGCACTGGCAGACTGCAACCATTAGATGTTGGTATTTTTGGTCTAGTAGATACATTCTATAACAGAGAATTCGAAATTTGGTTGAGAGTTAATAAGGCACTATTAAATTTCTAACATTTTTTGTAATGCCTATATAAAATCAGTAAGAATGAAAAATATACTGTCATCATTTGAAGTTTGTGAATTAGATCCTGTGAATTCAGTCATTTTCCCAGAACAACTATTTGCTCCAAGTTTGATTACCGATAATATAAATTTTGATGGAAATACTACAAATACAAATCTCCCACCTAATCATAAAAATGTGAAATTTCTTCAAATATTGAAAAAATGTTTCTACTGACAAAGTTGACACAACTCATAAGACATTTTCTGTTTTGCCTGGTAGTTCAGGTACAATTAACAATACACATGTTACTAATGAAGAAGTAGATAAAATTATTAAAAAAAATTTCGTCTTTTCTCAGCTGTTCTTTCAGTGGCTCCAGAAAGTCTAATAAAAATAGATCAACAGGGACACAAGTATTAACTAAAAGTCTACTAATAAAAGAACCTAAAGAAAAACAAATTATTAAGAAGACTAAAGAACTTAAACGACTTCATAAAAATAGGTCTATTGAAGCACTGGCAGGTGGCAGAAAAAACATTAAAGAAATTAGAAAATCTAAACGACCTGTAAAACAACGCCGTTTAATTCTAGATCCTGTTGACTATGAAGATGATGATGATGCTGATACAGCTTGTTTATATTGTAACAACTTGTATAAGCAATCTAAAGCAAATGAGTCGTGGATAAGTTGCACACATAACCTATATATATATATATATATACCATGTAATATTTTATTTATTTTGCGTTTAGCGAGTGGTTTATGCAAAAAAGATCACTCTATAGTTATTAATGTAAATATTGGAGGGCTTGATACAAAAATGTTCAAAAGATAATTTTTGGTTATTTATGAATATATGCTCTGCAAGGAATTTTCAACAGAGTCAAAAATACACATTTCTTGAGCAATTATTCGCGCTGAATTCAAATACATTTTTTCCATCACTCATAATTTTTGATATTATTACTAATTAGTTCAAAACAAGTATTAAGATATAGAAGAAATAACCAAAAAAATATAAATTAAAATGAAATTCAATAACATAACATCGGATGAAATCATAGGTAAAATTTGGCTAACGGAATATTTCTGAATATCAAAATACATACCATAGAATATAACTATACGTAATATAGTTCTGAATATTTCAATTATAGCATCTATTTAAAAATAAAGAGTTACATTGAAATAATTATTAAAATTCTATTTAATTGATTTATTACAAAAAAAGAAATCTGTAGCACAGAGGGGGGGGTCGCGACACAGTATAAGCGTGGCATAGTTGGGACAAGTATAGATGATATCTGCAGTTATTAAAACCACTATCATAAGAAATTCTTCGATGAAAATCTGTAGATAGTGTTTAATTATAAAAAAATTGGTGGATTATTCAAAAGCAAATCAGATTAAAATCTGTGAAAAATGAATTTAGAAAAGTATATTCTGTTCTTTTCTAGTTAAAATTCCTTGTAGATAAGTGTATTTCTTCTCATGAAACAAACATTTTTTTTTAAAGGTTTCAAGGCATCAATGTAATTAATTAATATAATTCGTTTTTATACATGTTTATCAGAGAAGTAACGAAATATACAACTACTTGATTACTTTTTATAGTTTCTCTGTAAAAATTACAATATTAAATTATTGAATATCAATTTCATACTAAATTTAACTACTACAATAAGTATTTATTCTTTGTTTTTAGTTTTGAATGGTGTCAATATTCTATTATTATGCAAAATATTATAAAATTGACCACTTTTTTTACCAAAACTGCACGCGTCCAGTTTTTAAAAAGCTATGTTAATACACTGTGAAAACTTAAACTATTAATATTGACTGTTTTATAACACATTTTTTAATTATTTTAAATATTTAGTCATTTTTTGGGGACATTGTTCTCATTACACGATAACGGGAGTTTTTTTTTATGTTATAGTGTTAATAGCTTCATATTGATATGTGTTGTCATTTTCTATCGAATGTTTAAGCAAAATAGGTTCGGGAGTGATTGCGTGTATGGACACAAAAAAATAAACACGAAAGAGTAAGTGTAATAGCTTCTCAGTTACACATCGAAGTTATTATATTTTTTCACAAATTACAAGTTTCTGAGTCAGCGATAATACTAAAAAATAAATAGTGGAGTATTGGCTAAAAACTCATTTTACACATAAGTATACCTTAACAACAAATTAAATATTTGTAAAAATATTGTTCTTGATCAATGGATGAAATAAATTTTGGACTCATCATTTTTAGTTTGTTCAAAATGAATCATACAGAAATTCAGAGCTCAATGTTAAAAATTATTTTTATGTAAGTAACCATAAATTAATGATAGCCTTGTCAGATACATCGATCTTGGCAAAAAATCGACTTCAAGTATGGAAGAAAATCGGTGAAGGATCGTTTTCTAAAGTTTTTTTGACAAAGTATGGGGGTATCGTCAATGGTAAAGTAATGATGTTAGCTACAAAAGTGATAAACATTAATCGGGTTTCAGTCAAATTTGCAGAAAAATTTTTACCCCGCGAGCTCGACGTATTGGTCAAGGTCAAACATCCATATATAGTGCAGGCATGTATATCTTCTACAGCCGACATCCAATACAACTAGTATCAATCCATTTTAATGTAATACTCTTTCAATTAAAAAAAAAAATTATTTCATACTTTTTAATAAGCAACAGTATTTATTTTAAAAATTAACATGTTTGAAAATTCCTAATAATTTGACTTGTAACTTTGAGATTACCTAAAAGAGACCAAAATCAGTGTTTGAACTAATATGCTAGCAAAATTTTAAATTAAGATGGGATCATATTTCAAATAGATAAATTGATCAATCTTAATATGAAGTAATAATATTTATTTAAAATCTCTAAACGAAAATTTGGTGAGTTCCGATAGAAACTTATGTATGATTTAGGAAAATTAAACGATAAAAAATGTCTATAATAAAACTAATTGATATATTTTTTAAATTAATTTTAATTAAAAATCAATTAATTTTTGAAAAATACATTCGAGTATCAATAAAAATTATTTTGTGAAAGATAAATAAAAAAAAAATCATAGCTAAAGCAAAAAAATATACTCTAAAAAAAAATATCTTAATTTTAACATACATGTACTAGAAATTTTTTATTCACACAATGTATTGAAAAATTTTATAATTGTGTTCGGATTTTTAATCGTTTATATTAAAATTACACTTTTTGTGTGTATAAATAACGTGTATAATTTAAAAATTGTATATTGACTTACCGGAATTTTCGGATAATTGTATACAATGTGTTACATTCGATATTATATCCTAGATCTTATAATTTTATAAATAATTTAATGATTTGTTTATTTTTTATATCAAAAGTTTTATAGTTGACTTAAAAACCTCTATAAAGCCTGATTAACAGGAAATTTTTGAGAAATAATTTTGTTATACATTTGAAAAAAGTAATTTAAACAACTCAAACCTGTAAGTATTTTTAAGTAGAGCTTAATCCCTTCGGAATTTTTAGTTGTTATTTAATATTTCAAGAGTAATACACATATAGATATATGTAGATTTAGTCGTATACTAACCTGACTAACTAAATTATCAACGTATTTTTATAGTCTTATGGATACCGTATATAAATAAGGAAGCGATGGTTTAAAAAAGTTTTATAAAAGTTATACACGAATTTAGGAGGCATGTTAAATCAATTATTTGAAGCTGCACTAATCTAAAAAGCCAATGCTTATCTTATCACAATTGATTAAAGCATATTTTTTTTATAAATTTAAATTAATATAAATATTAAAATAAATAATTATAGATTCTCAGTTCATCAAATACCTCATTTAAACATTTAAAATATTAATATTTTTACAAAAATAATTTTCTTATGTAATTATTCAATCTTATTTGATAAGTATTTTTTATTGAGACACAATACTGTGTATTAAATTGAATATTTTCTTAAAAATTATTAATTTGTATGTAAAAATATTTAATACATATAAATGTGTATAACCTTAATTATAGTTACACAGCATATTTCAAAGTGGCCCTAAAATATTTATTAACATGGAATATGCAGAAAATGGAGATCTGCATTCTTATTTAAAGAAAAAAATATTGTCAGAGGATCAGATTCGTTCTTGGTTTCGACAGATTTTGTGGGCGTTCAAGTATATGCATAGTGTAGGTATCGTTCATCGTGATATCAAATGTGAAAATATATTGCTAACGGCCAAATACAATGTAAGAATTGCGGATTTTGGATTTACACGATTTGTTGGCCGTGGTCGCCATCCAGGTGCAGATACAATATGTGGCACGTTGTCGTACTCATCGCCAGAACTAGTGTCAGCTTTGCGACCTTATAACCCTATAGCTGCTGATATATGGGCCTTGGGTGTTGTATTATTTGTTATGTCAAATAACACAACTCCATTTAAAGATAAAAATAAAGACGAAATGTATAAGAAACAGGTAGATACATTTAAATCATTATTAATAAATTTATAAAAAATGAGTTGTTAAAAGTACTTAATAAAATACATAAATTTTTTTAAATAAGGTTTGACTAGGTTTTTATTTTTCTCGACAATAACATTTTTTTTCGGAAATAATAAGTATAAAATAACTATTATCTGTAAAATTAATTTTTTAAAAATATATCTTCCAAAAAATTATAACTTTTTTTATTCAAAATTATAAAATAACGATAACTTGTTTCAGATGTCAAAACAGTATAAGTTTCAAGAAATTAAAAGTCGTAGTGATAACCTTAAAGATCTGGTTGCATCATTTTTAGAACCTAACGTTGGATTTCGGATTCAATTAAAGAAGGCACTACAGCATCCTTGGCTGAAAAATAACAATGAGAAAACTCCAACTAACGTACGGAAAGCTATAGAAATTGGATTTGCCAAGAGAAGTTTTATGAATATACCAAATATTACATCAACTACTTTAAAAAATAATGATTCAATTAAATATCAAAGATCAATTCTTATAGAGTCTACTAGTGTTTTCAACGAAATATTTGAGGATGAAGAAATTGAAGATGAAGATATGTTTTTTAATTGAAAAACGATCATATTCTTTTTACAAATAGTTTGAAAAAATTCAATCTAAATAACGTTTTTTATTTAAAATAAAACATATTTTCAAGGATTTCTAGAAAGAATAATTAAGAAATATTAATTTGAAATTTTTTGAATTACATTTTATTTAAAATTTATAAGCGAAATGTTTAAAATCTATTGAGCTTCTATGTGTGTAATTTGAAATAAGTAAACTATCCAAGGTAATGAAAAATATATATTACATTTTTGTTATCAAAAGTTTTTATTAGCATTCATGCATAATTTGCAATGTTCTTTAAATATGTTAATACTTCTGTCTGTTCATTCATCTTGTCTCCATAAAACTTAGGGAAGTTATTGAGTACACTCTTGTGATAATTTATGGCATTTTATATTAAATTTCCTGTCTTTTGAGATCGCAGAAATGCGTGACGGATAAACTAATAAAAAAAAACGGTAGTATAGTGGAGTCGCGACACAGTGTGGACATAGCATAGTTGGGTAAAGTATAGATGATATCTGACAGTGATTAAAATCACTATCAAAAGAAACGCTTCGATGAAAATTTATAAATAGTGTTTTATTTTAAGAAATGAATGGATTTTTTCGACTTAAAAAAAAAAAAGTTGAAATAAGTTTAACTTTATTTTCTATGTCAATTAGATTCATATAATATTTATGAAAATCATTAACCCCTTATAAGGTATATTATAAATAAATTAAAATACAATAACAAGAATTTTAACAAATTTTTGAATATGATAACCATTTTCACTATTGTTTCGTACAAGACAGTTGGACTATAAGACGGCTATTTGTGCACCACACTAGAATGCTGTTATACCTTAATTCTATTTAAATCGCTATTATTAAAGTGAGAGAGGGGTCACCTGGGTGGATGACGGATAACCGCACATCCAATAAGTAACTAGAGTAGACAATAATTAATTAACAAATAACCACATATATTAGAAAATCTTCAAAGAGCATTTTAAATTTAAGGAGTAAGGGAGACCCTTAAATACTAATAGGCAGCGAAGTGGCATAAAACAAAAGAGTTAAACTCAATTTAACAAATAATAAATAATATAAAAAAATAATATAAAAATTCAATTGAATAGATGAAGTTGTTGATAATGATGAGTGGACTGTATGAGATCTTGTCGCAATGGAGTATCACAATTCAGATTGTAGATCCAGGCACACAATGGCAGATGAAGACAGACGGCGGACAAGCAATTATGGCAATGAAGTTAATTAGTGATGGCCAAAGCCCAATCACTGGTGGCGTGCAAGTGCACGAGAACTTTGAGCACAAAGGTGCAATAATCAAATAAGAATAATAGCGTACAATAGCCAAACTATTTAAGCAAAGGTGATTACTACAAAAAAAAAAAAAAGACACAAAACAATTGACTTAAGATTATGAACTGTATACGAATGATAATTGACACGGAGGTCATCGATTTGCCGTGCTGGGTGGGCAAGGAGGTTAGTAAAGCAAATACGCTAGAGATCAGCAATCACACGATATAATACAGTGAATTCCGCTTAATATGGGCACGTTGGGACCAGAATTGTTTGCCCACATTAAGCGGTTGCCCATAAAAACCGAAATTAGTTAAACAAATTTTAATGATATCAAAAAAAATTTATTTTACACACGTTAATCATACAATTGAAAAAAATGTTAAATTACCACGTATATTAATTAAATTAAATATAAAGTACATTATTTTTAAATACTTAATACATACATACATCATACTAAATAAAATTACTTTTTGAGTGTGGAAGTATACAAAANTCATACTAAATAAAATTACTTTTCGGGTGTGGAAGGTATACAAAACGTTGTAATTGCTCGTTGTCTAAGCTGTTTTGTGTGGATCTGGTTTACAAAATGGGCGCACGCTTCAAGCTTATCAGATGGACTACCGTCGTTACCCTCTTGCATAAAGAACTTCTGCAACAAATCAATGCATTTTTAGCCTCTCTAGTTGTAACTGGTGGTTCAGTATCGTTTTCTTCTTCTTCGTCGTCGTCGTCGTCGTCTTCTTCTTCTTCAAACTTTCTTTTTTTAAGAACATTTTGTACTATTGAATCACAAATTTNTTTTACACACGTTAATCATACAATTGAAAAAAATGTTAAATTACCACGTATATTAATTAAATTAAATATAAAGTACATTATTTTTAAATACTTAATACATACATACATCATACTAAATAAAATTACTTTTTGAGTGTGGAAGTATACAAAATGNATTAAATATAAAGTACATTATTTTTAAATACTTAATACATACATACATCATACTAAATAAAATTACTTTTTGGGTGTGGAAGTATACAAAATGTTGTAATTGCTCGTTGTCTAAGCTGTTTTGTGTGGATCTGGTTTACAAAATGGGCGCACGCTTCAAGCTTATCAGATGGACTACCGTCGTTACCCTCTTGCATAAAGAACTTCTGCAACAAATCAATGCATTTTTAGCCTCTCTAGTTGTAACTGGTGGTTCAGTATCGTTTTCTTCTTCTTCGTCGTCGTCGTCGTCGTCTTCTTCTTCTTCAAACTTTCTTTTTTTAAGAACATTTTGTACTATTGAATCACAAATTTCTTCATTATTATCAAAACAAGGAGCATTTTCATCAATGTTTTCAAACTCGCTGTGGTTTTGAATAAGTAAAAATTGTTCATTCAACTCAGTCAACTCAGGTTGTTGACCAACAAAATTAGAAAACCCACAATGAGCGAAACAATTCATAATGGTTGTGCAGCTGACTTCTCGCCAACTCTCGGATACAAACTGCATGGCTTGCAATAAGTTTATTTTACCACTTATTTGATTAGCAGTTGCAGATGAATCAAAAAATTTTTCCTCAATTTTTTCAAGAATAAAATTAACCAGCTTTATTCTATACTTCACCTTGAGGTTTTTTATAATACCCATATCTAAGGTTATTACTTTCGATAAACATAATGTCATAGATATTACGAAACCGGATTAAATTAGTCGTTTTAACATACATATATGTATATTCTAACCCTATAATAAAATAAAAATTGCTCACATAAACCGAACCAAATGCCCATATTATGCGATTTTTTTTACCCATGTTGGTATACATTGGGATTGGACCAGACCATTATGCCCATATTTAGCGGATGTCCTTATTAACCGGTGCCCACATTAGGCGGAATCCACTGTATAATCAACAGTGTTTGAGATAACTGGTCCACTAGGTCTTTGCTAAAGGCGTTCTTTACTAAACAACTGTATCTCGAAATTATTTTTTTTATAGTAAGTATGTGAAGAAGTGACATATTTAGGCTTTAATATTAGCTCTGATGGTATAAAATCTGGATGAAATAAACTTGAGGCTATAATAGATTTTCCTATACCAAAAAGTAAGCATGATGTTAGACACTTTTTGGAATTAACGGATTTCTTTTGCTTTTTTTGATTCTTTTGATTCTTTAAGAATGAGTAAAAAGAAGCGTTTCAACAGTTGAAAAAAACATTAACGGAGAAACCAACTCTGAAACTATATGATCCGTGTGCAGTGACAGAGGTACACTGTGATGCTAGTTCAATAGGATTAAGTGGAATATCGTTGCAACAGGATGTTGATGGTAGACTGTGATTAGTTCATGTTGTATCCAAAAAGACGACAGATGCGCAAAACAAATATCATTCGAGTCGTCTCGAGTTAATGACAATAGTTTGGGCTCTAAGTTAAGATATTTATTGATTGGTATTTATTTTTTGTAGTTACAGATTGTCAGGCGTTAGTCCATATGAACAGAATAATGACAATAAACCCTCAAATTGCGCGATGGGCGAGTTTGCTTAGTAAATTAAATTTTGAAATTCGCCATAGGATATGCAGCATGTTGATGCATTAAGCAGAGCCCTTGTGGATCCAAGCACATGTGAGACTATGGATCAAATAATAAACGACAAATTGGAAGTATTAGTGACAAAGTGTGAGGAAGAATATATAGTAGCTATGCAAAACAGTGATGCAGAATTAAAAACTATAAAATCAGAACTAACCAATGAAGCACCGTCATTGACTGTTAGGTGAAAATATGAGATTATCAAGGTACACTGTATCGGATAATTTCGGAAAATGGTGAAGAAAGGAAACTATGGATGGTTCCAAAATCAATACGCAAAAGTTTGGTAATTTAGTTTCTAAATATGTTAGGTCATTTCTCAATAGACAGAACAGTATCCAAAATACTAGAGAAGTATTATTTTCCTCGTTTACGTTTACATTGGTATGTTAAACATCACATTAATATGTGTGCTGCCTGTGAACAAATCATTCCGAGGAAAGTGATCGGGAAAATTTCATCCCATTTAACCAGGGAAGAGGCCCTTCAAGACAATACATATTGATCATCTTGGACCCTTTCTGGCTAGTTCAAAGAAAAATAATTGTCTATTAGTGCTTACAGATAATTTGACTAAGTTCGTCAAGCTTTTTACAATAAGTAGTGTCCAACCAAAGAAATCATACGCCAATTAAAGTCATTCACTTTGCAATTTGGCTGCCTAGGAGAGTCATATGTGACCGTGGAACAGCGTTTACCTAAAAATAGTTCAGAAAGTATTGCCATGAGGAAGGAATTGAACTTCATTTAGGGTCAATCAGACATCCACAAACAAATGGACAATGTGAGAGAGCCAATTCAACCTACTACCAGTAATGATTCTGGTAACCCGAAGTGGAGTTTAAGTTGAACAACATGTTTAATAAGGCTACTGGAAAGTCACCATTTCAAGATCTGTATGGATATTCACCAATGTTAAAAGATGGTTTGTTAGACAAACTTGTAATAGTAACATCATTAATCGAAGATCCAGAGGACGTACAGGCCCGAATCAAAAAGAACATTGCAGAAGCTCAACAGAAGTGGAAGAAGAGGTATGGCAAACAAAAGGTGGAAACTAAATTTCAAGTTGGAGAAATTGGGTTTTTACGTTGC